CCACTATCGCAGCCAATGCCGACCGGTCAGCGGACCTGAGGGTGCCGCGCGGGACGCGGAGGTGGGGGCAGGGTGCGGGAAGGGCGGGGACGGGGTGGCGGCGCAGGGGAAAGCCGAGGAGGGCGGACGCAGCGGCGACTCTAATAGCCAAAAAGGCCCAGTTCACTCCGTGTTAAACAGTCAACAAATCATGTTAGAACCACTCCTCTTGAGGTCAAAACAGTTCATCCGCACACTTACTCTTCGCCAATGTCAGCCAGAAAGGCGACATTTCATGGTCCTTCAATAAAGCCATAAAAAGCCCATTAGGTCACCACGCCTGAAACAAAAAGTTTTTGCAATCGCTCCGTCCAACCATGCCTTCAGAAAATGTCTAAAATCTTAAGCCCTGCGGCCATGTGACCTTTGACCTGTTTGACCTCCAATGACTGCACAGTGATCGCTGAGTCCCTTAACCAGTGAGCCTATTACACCGACTATCACGCAACCGTTTAGCCGCCTTCGAACCCGTGTTTAGATTTGGCCGCAAAGGCTTGCATGGTTCCGTCGCCTGAGACCTGAAGCGAAGCGAAGGAAGGTGGCCCCCTGCGTGGTACACCGCTTGACCTGGTGACCTGGACCCCCAGCGTCGAACATCCCAACGCGTCTTGGACGAGCCCCCAACGACCCGAAGAGTGCGCGACCGGTACGTGCGAGCGGGTAAGAGGTTGCTGCCCAACGCGGGGACGGCGGACGACGAGAACGACCCGGACGATCGACGGACGCGACGACGGACCCCACGGTTTGTTAAGACGGAGGACGGGTGGCCCGCTCACGCACGACGGACGCATGGAGGCCTCTTACGCAGCGCGAGAACTGCGGAGGTTACTCTGTTAACTACGCTAGAGGAACAAGTACATATCTACGTTGTGCTGTTACGGGTTGACACGGGGAGTGTTGCCAAAAATTCGCGCACACGGAGTAAATTCGATACTTATCGCGGAAGAGTTCCCTGTGGACAGTATCCATGCTTTGAGTTACGTGTCTAATTGCTTACCTCCTCGGCGCACGGGGATACCATTACCCTTACGGTTTCCAACGTTGACGCCAAATGTCACATCTCTCCTTCAAGACAACGGGTTAGACTTGTCAATAGGTCTTCGATATACTTCTGCTGCGCGAGACAGAACCGGTCGATTGTTAATCAAAGTAAGCCGCGTACAATTCGCATTAGGATGCATTATTTTCCCCTGTGTGAACACTTGACGGGTCGGGTGTCTCTCCAAGTGGGTCGATACGCTGTCTCATGAGAGCAGAAACACAAGGAAGAACTGCTGAGTCATTCAACATGTAGGATTGACGACGGCTTTCCTTGTAGGGTCTGTGTTGTTGGTCGGATCATACCGCTCCGGGAAGCTAATACTCGGTAGCTATCCACTGGCACATGATTGCATTTGCCAACCTACGGGTACGGACAGCTCCTGAAAAGCAGAGTCGGTACTCGTTGCCATATACCCCTCAAGCTTGCATGACTTCTTGAGCTGCATGAAACCAGGTCTAGTGCTGCTTCAACAAACGCCATGCGACTGCCTTGCATCCCTCTTGAAGCGGCAGGAAGCTAGACTGCGAACTTTACGCAAGCATGGTGGCAGCGGACACTCACGAAATCCAAATGATGTTATCTCGACCTCACGGATAGAGAGAGTGCATTACCGTCTGCCGCGGGCATTTGCCATGCCTGACATTTGGCATGCTCCTCTTCTACTTCAAGCTATGCTGTTACTCGTTTGGTACTACTGTTGAAGAGACAGTTATTTGGTTGGGCAACTTTATCTAGACAATTTCTAATCTTGCACTATTTGAAGTGTCTTTGGTTATCCACAGTAACGGAGTAAGGCAGGTGCATGCCAGTGAAAGCTATTCGGCGTGAGGAGCTCGCTCCCGAATCTTTGCAGCTACTCCCAAACCCTGCTCGGATGACGAGTGCTACTGGCGCCATCGTTAAACCTTGTCCTACCAGCTTCTCAGACTTTTTTAGCATTGAATTCTTTCAACGGCTAGTATTACAGATTCTATGTTCTTATCCACTCATAAACTTGGGGAGTTCAATGGCACCAACGACTGGGATCTATCTTTTCCTTCTTCTAATCATCTCATCAGGAGATCAGATTGAGACTGCAATCAGTATACTTGAAGCAATCATGTAGTATCTAAGCCATCAAATCTAGTAGTAATTAGTTAGTTCGAGTCACGTAGTGCACCCGACGTTGACGCTAGGGTCCGGCATGCCCCCCCGGACGACGGAAATTTTTGAATTCTGAAGCATGCAATTTCCTGACCCATTCTGAGGGTCAAAAATGACAATAAATTGCTTACGATACTGCTTGCCCAAATCTATTTATTTTTAATACATGTTCACTGCAAACAACATTTTATGATCTCATCTCACTGACAATCACCGTCAGATACTTTATGTTTAAACGGTTACTACACAGTAACTGAATACAAATGTCACCACTTTGAACAGCACTCGCATCACAAATCTATATCATGCATACATGTATGTAGCATTTTAAGAACGTCACTCATGGTTTTCCACAAGTCACTGAATGTCACCTCACTATGACACACTGACTCACTGCACAACCTAAAGTCACCTCACAGACACACAATTTGATGAATGTTCACTCCAAGTCGGAATTTAGTCCCGGGTATGTGGCCCTCTTGGACCCTGAGGCTGAGCAACTTCCGTTAAGGAAAAATTTTGTTGATAACAAGTGACGTGTCCTGGCTGCTCTGTCTGTCTTTGTTATCACTGAGGTCACTGGTCAGCCAGCGGGTACACAAAGATTTGGCCTGGAACTCGTCTGCCGTTTTTCTCAACAGGCAGAAGATTCCTTTCGAATCGGCATTGCTGTGGCGAGCGATCACAACGTATCCCAGGCATAAACGATGCGCCAAGAATACCATACTTGGAGCGGGACGCCAAATACTGGAGGATCGGTCAACTCGTATCGCGACCTGCCCAACAGCATGACCCCCGGACCGTGACCTCAAGCACTATGGGCTAGCAGCACCGGTGTCAACGGCTGATATTGCACGAGGGAACTGCACCTTTCCAAGCGGCCCATCCTCTAAGCTGGGCGGTCATCTGCGCAGGCGAAACCTACAACGTACTGCAGTGACTGAATGTACGCAGGTACTGCCCTTCGTCAGTCCGCAACACTGGCTTCTGCAGTAGGGGCCCATCAGCGGGAACAGGGCGTGCGTCAAAAACACCGGTTCTGTCCTTCCTCGGCGTCCATCTTACCCATTCTCTTTGCCACTCATTTAAGGTACGCCCTGGCTGACGGTCTGCCGATTGACAATTCCGTCCCTTGACTTCTGCAAGCTTTCTTGTCATGATAATCTAGCCAGTGTGCAGGAACTCCTTTGCCTGCTGTGATGGCCTAGGGTAACATGAAATCGACACCAACTTGGTCCAACGCAAATACGACACATCACACGACATGATAAGAACATGGATCATCGGACGCACCTGTATCTCTCGCAAGCAGACAGAGTTGCATAGAGTTGAACAGATAGGACGAGTCACGCTTGCAAGCGAGAAAGACAGCTACAGCTTCGTATTCGGATCATGTCATAGGATGGCATACACCCTCGAGCCCTAGCCTTTTGGCTTTGCTGAGTGGGGTTGGCGAATTCGACCTAGAAAAAAACAGCAAACAGAAAACACCACTGAATCAGAATACAAATAAATGCACTTTCAACAGTTTCAATTATTTCGGTTACAATAGGTTTGGGTGCGGTAACACACAAAATAAGTTACTAAACTACAGCAGATGTATCCACAAGCAATATCAACAACCAAACACCATTATTTGTAAACATTGTAAGTTTTTTTTGCTCTAGATATTAAGGTAAAAGCTATTGTCATAAATAAATGTATTACAATAAAAAAATTTGCAGTGTTGCAAATTTCTAAAATTTGGCAGAAGCTTTCGCGGCACAAGCCATTTTTTTAACCCCCAGCCACTCGAGGCGTCATCGGCCAACTGGGACATGATGCTGCAAATGCCTCCTCCCCTTGTAGGGTACGTTCCGGTATACCGGACCGTACCCAGGGTACGTTCCGGCAGTACCCCGGGGGACATAGACACTCTCAGCCTAACTAGTACTAGTAGTAGTAGTAGTAGTAGTACTAGTACTAATAGTAGTAGTACTATAGTAGTAGTATTTACTAGTAACTAACTTGCATATTCCTCGATAAGTGGTGTCAAGTCATAGACTTTTCCGAGAAAGGAAACCCATATATCCTTTGGCGTGTTATGTTGTCGAACTTCATTGTCAGTATAATATCTTTGGTTCCCCATAGACAAATATTACAACAACACCGTAAACAACCAAAATACCTTGCCTGTTACGAGTCACGCGTTGTGAACGTGGCTTGTTACCATAACAATCAGCTGCGCCCTCGTGCGATAACTACTGATAACACGCTCTCTAATTATACGATCAATGTCAATGGGTTTGGTTAAACGCGCGAAGCCGCTCCGTTCCATTCATAGAAATGATATATTATATATCATATGTTAGGGTTAGTGTTTGTTTACTACAAAGTTTAGTACTTGGTTAATTTGGTATTATGATTACTGGTGTCTCTACATACGTATTTCTATGGCTCTAATTCTGAACTAGCTGTCGGCCCCATAGAAATAGATAGATAGGTTATCTATCTATTTCTATGGTCGGCCCGATTAAGACCATGTATGCATGACATGCATGCATGCACGTGCACTATTGTATTATCAGGAGCGTATAATGACACATTTATATCAATATATGTTACATATTTGATGTGACATATGTGATATAATGACATATTTGTCATTATACGCTCCTGGTATTATGCCACTACGAACACATAATGCATACCATATAGATTTGTAAATTCCAAGTTTGGGTGCGACATAAATTAATGTATGACTGTAGGTTGACATTCCTGGATCGAGATCTATATTAGGCGGAATATACATATATATTACAACATTCTCCTAAAAGATCCAACTATAGGCCTACAGCCAACATTTTATCGCAGCCCCCGATATGCTCTTGCACACGCAGGCCCGTAGCCAGCTTTCTATTGGGGGGGGGTTCGTTTTTCAATGTTGGCAATT